CAATCTTCTCCATGGAAGAACTATCTTTCATGCCACCTACAGGAAGAGTCTACATAGTTCAAATATTGATGGAAACATTGGTGGTGACAGATATAAAATGACAATATAACAAAAACTCTAATGTATTTCTACAGCAGGAGAAACTACTTTGAAATCACTTCACCCATCATCTGGCAGATGTTAACCCACCGTTGCCAGGAAAAGGTTGTCTTCACTGTAGTATTATTTAGTGAAATGTCTCTGCACAGACATGTGAGTACTTAGCCACAAAGGTGTCATTTTGTAGACCTTGTGACCTCACTTGATGAATTTGCAGGAAAAGTTTTTTTTACTTATGCTATCAATACTGATTCTGTTTTTATTATCATAGACATTATGATTATAATAATGTTATTGACATTACTAACAGAAATATAAGATAACTGAAAATATTTCTGAAAATCAAGGAAAAGTTTATACAGGTGAGATAGGTAGTACATGTAACTGGCTCATTAGTGACTTAGTACTTGCGGAGCCATCTATGCGTAGAGATAAATAATAAATTAGACTCATGGTGGGCATGGCATATACACACGTACCATCCCCAAAAGAATGGGATTAACCTACTGCTCACTATGAGTTTATGAATTGTCTTTATACATATGTGGCTCCACAAGTACTTAGTCACAATCTCATTTGTTAACCATTTATCTTGACTTTCTGAAATATTCTCTTTTATATTCTATTGCAATTAATTTTAATAATACTATAATAATTATAATGTCTATAATAATAACAATAGCACTGATATTGAGAGCACTAGTAAAAAACACATTTCTCAAGGAAAGGCAAAATCACGTGAGGTTACAAGGTCTACTCACTGACTCCTTGGTGGCTGAATGCTTGTGGAGCCATCTATGTAGAGAGACATTTTACAAAATGAAACTGAAGTCAAGACTACATTTTTCTGGTTTTCCTTCATTTTATTTACTTCCAACAACTTATATATGTGGGTATATATGCCAGTTACAGGTAATGGTTATTTGCTGAAATATTTCTTATGATTTTATTGGGATACATAGCAAATCATTGCCATGGCAAGGTTATTAACAATTGCTGATGTCAATATATAATAGATAAAAAATAATATTGCAGAATTGCCACACCCTAATCTTTCAAGGTGAGGATTGGTTTTCAAAGACAGGAATGATCTAATAATCAGCAACAATCCATAAATTTGATGCATTTGAAATGAATGGTTATCTATCTGAACACCTGTGGTCATGTATGACACAGACATATGGCCATAGATCATAACATATATATGTATGTATGTTTATATGAATGTGTGTATGCATACATGTATATATAAATAAATGCAAAAAATAAATACCCTTCTTTCAACCTTATATTTACCTGAATGACTAGATTAAAAACATCTTAAAGCAATTACATGGCAGTCTACTAAAACTACTAAACCTGGACGGATTGCATGTAACTTCTATCACAAATCACTTGTTAATAATTAAAGATCATTCAATATTTCAGCATCATACTTCACTTAGTCTCTTGATAAAAACATCACGTCTTATATTCAGCATGTGGTTAAAGCTAAATGCATAAAGCCTTATGCTAAATAAAATCATCATTACCTCACAGCATTAAGAAATATATACCTTTGATATAAAAATCACAAACATACAATACATGAATATGACAAAACAAGCTTTTAACTTCACACATAATTCATTGGTGAGAAATCTAAATAACAATGTTTTGATCAAAGACTCATTAAGAAAAGGGTAAATTTCCTGGAAGATTACCCGATTTGGACAACTTCTGATGAAGACTACGATGTTTTGCATCGCTGACTTCAAGTCCAAGAATTCTGGAAAATATGAGTTATTTCATTACTGGAAATACAAGAGTTAGTTATGCTCAAGCATTCTTTTTTCAATCAATGATAAATGTAATGTATCTATTTTCTCAGAACACCTCTATAATAAAACAAGAAGAAAAAAAGGACATATGTTATCAAGACAATATTAAGAAAATATTAAGAAAACTCCAACAGATATAAAACAGAAACACAATACAAAATACACATTTGTACTAGCTAAACCAACAACAACAACAATTTCCTTACTTATAGTCAGCAATGAGGGAAGTTATTGTGTCATCTTTTGCTCCTATTAATGTCCGCAAGTGACTGTTCTCCTTTGTGGAACGTTTCCATGCCGCCTTGGCTGCTTGCCGACCACCCTCACACTCTGCCATCTTACTGCTCCAATTTATCCTTTCCTCCTGAATCAATTGAATAAATCATAACCAAAAAAAATACTTATTTAAATTTGCATGAAGTATCTATTCAATTTTCACTTCTTTCTATACCTAATTCTTATTTTCATTCTTAGCATGCTAAATGCACCTGCACACCAGAAGTCATAGACAGGACTGATGGAAGCTGAGCATGAATCTGATCAAATCATTCACAAATCTCTGACATAAAACTTCACTGGTG